GAAAAGGTGCTAAGCTTTCGTTCGTCATATGACGAACATCATCAGAGCAGGGAAGGTATCATTGTCACAACAAAAAGTCACCGACCTTCGAATCTCTTCACCGCACACTTCCACTCGAAATGGAAGTAAGCTCGACAATTATGAAACGTGTTAACCAACAATTGGCGATCTCAGCAAGAGTTGCTTCTTCGTGTCCTGCCTCAACAGGATCCGGTACCAGCATCGTCCATAACTGCAAATCTCGAGTCGGTACCGGTTAGACGGGCCGATCTGGCCCTACATACACGCGCACAACAGCCCTCTTGACCGCCGTCCTCTTTACAGACGTCCACCTGTCGACCCTCTCCACCTTAGGCACACACTCACAATCACATGTGTACACGTTCTTGCCCATCTGCCTCTCGAGGCCAAAAGTCGGATGAAGTTGCGATGAATCAGTTGGATCGTTTCGGCCATCGGAAGGGATAAAAATAGAAAAGTTAAGTCCTCCATTCTGGTTCACGTCAAGTCATGCATTTCGGTCCACTTGGCTGAAGACCAAATTCATTAAAAAATATCGGAATTTCTCCACTTTTCATGGCTCGCTCAAGAGAAGTCGAGTGGTCTCGCACGCTCATGGACCAGACAAAGGTGTAGCAGGCCAGAAGGGGTAAGGGTGGAGTCTATGCTGTGGACGGCCGTCATAAACTGGCGCACTAAAACACCGGCCAAAGATAAGAAAATTCACCCTATGAATACAGCATACACACATACAAACACCAATACACACACACACACACAGAATTATAATTAATAATCGTCGTAACTGACGCTTCTTCGTCCGACCAAATGCCCAACATCTGATGATGATGACAGTAGTTTGGCCAACAACCAAAGAATACGCGGCGCCAAACAGAACCTTCTACGATTTTGCGACGCAGGTTGCAGGTTTCAGGAGAGCTGTGCTCCAAGGTTAGGGGTTTGTGGGTGTGTCATTATTTAATGAGGAGGACAAGAATTTGTATGCCTGCTTGTGGACAGGGGAGAATCCAAACGATTTTACTGCAAATATGAGGCGATTTAATCGGTTATCTGATGAGAAATTGTCTACAGTGATCAAGTTTCGGAATACGTAGTTCACGAGAATCACCATTCCGTGAATAAAGTGATGGTTGAGACTTTATAGAAGAGCTAGATTAATTCTATTTCATCTAAAGGAATAGGGACAGGAAGTTCAATTATCACAAAATCAAATGAGTATACCTCATGGTTTCATTGGTTTTCATATAGTCTTGCTGCCGAAAAGGCCTTGTTAACCTAGTCCGATTGGACTGCAGTTTCGATAAAGCCTGAACAGGTTGGCTGAGCAACCGCAGCCGGACTCGATACGTCAACCACTGCGCCACATTGGAATCAGTGCCTGTGGGCCAAAGGGCAGATGTGAATCGCTAACCCTAATCCTAACCCTAAACCTAACCCTAAACCTAACCCTAAGGCAAACCCTAAACCTAACCCTAACCCGAATCCTAACTCGAACCCTAACC